ATGGACCACAGTAGATAACTGATTTCTCTTGGATCACTTAATTACTAATTATGTAGAGTGCAAAGTATGTCAGGTCAGCACAGGGTAAAACTGTGCCTCTGATTCAAATATACCCAATCATTTTAGCATTTCCCAACCCAGCTACATACTTGGAGGCTGCCAAGGTCCCAACTTGAGCATTCCAACCCAGTCTAAGTCAGTATCACTTCCTCCAAAGTTTCTCCTTCCCCAAAGCCCAAGTGTCGTCTGTTTCAAGATGGAGCTTCCTGCTTTCTGGGGTAAGATCAGTTAAGTAGTTTGAAGAGCAAGTATCTGAAGTGTTGTTTAGAAGGTAACCTCAAAGAAATGGAAGCATTTCAACAAGGTTATTGGGCCACTACTGACTGGTCTAGGCAGTCCTTTGAAAGTCCAAGAATACTTTATGGAGCCTTGGAGTGAAAGTGAAAGTTGCTCAGTCCTGTCCAACTCTTTGAGACCCCATGGACTATACAGTCCGTGGGATTCTCCAGGCCAGAATGCTGGAATGGGTAGCTGTTCCCTTCTTCAGGAGATCTTCCCTACCCAGAAATCGAACTAGGGTCTCCAGCATTGCAGGTGGATTCTTTACCAGCTGAGATACCAGAGAAGCAGAGCCTTGGAGTAGGGTGGAAAAATTGACAGAAGGCCTACAGTCGTGGGTTATAGCCCTATTCCCTACTCTTGCTTTCTCAAAAAACTTTAAAATATTTGCTTCATCTTTCCAAGAGTTAATTTCTTTAACCATTAAAGAACAGAATTAAGTATCCCCAGGGTCTTTTCCATATGGTTGTCTCTGAGCTCTGGACAGGATTTTTGTGTTAAAACACTAGAAGTCACAGATTGGTTTAGATAATATTTAGATTTGGACAAGATAAGAAAATGAAAGATTGCTCAGGAAGAAAATGACTTGGCCTCACCTGAATTCATGGCAAGCTCAGAATCTTGATTCTTTCAGCTAGTAATTTCTTCATCAAGTTAATAAAACTTTGATATTTATAATCAAAATGGTTCTGGAAAATACAGGAAACAGATCACACTATAGGTAACATAGTTCAGGAGAAAAAAAGCAGGATCAAAGGGTGAGGTAAAAATAGTGGAAAATATTTCTTTAATGCAATAAAGCATATACTGTAACTCTGTCTTTCAGATCAATTATTAATTTTTTAAAGCTCTAAAGAAATATCCACTAAAACAGTCGCATATCACCAAAAAGTCAACCTAAATAAAAGCATATCAACTTTCCTTTAAACTTCAATTAACTGATCCATCCATGCTCTTTTAATTTTGGTCTTCCAAATACCCATTCACACATTCTGCCTTATATTTACACTATTCTGTAACCAAAAGCTATCTGCAAGGCAAAAAAAAAAAAAAAAAGTATTAAAAGAAGCTACTCTTTTAATTCCTCATACAAAGCAATTACATCTATCACCACAGACTCATGGCTGTTTGCAAATTCTGGAAGTAATTAAATATTGATATAAGAAAGAAAAGGAGAATTAAGAATTGTGAAACCCTTTTATATGCTGAGAATTGAAATAACTGAGGGTAGGTCTAGAAAGGAGAAGAGTAAAGAGAGAAAAAGAACGATGAAGTCAGACATCTGAAAGATTACAAGTTAGGATGTAAAAGTTGTGCCGGTTGCTCTAGAAGAAAAACTATGAAGAATGAGTAGAAATTACTAAAGCAAGTTTATTTTTATTTTCATCTTTGGTACAAAAAGAAACTAAAATAAGATGTTTTGCTCTGTCTTTTGAAATACAAGCGTAGGTAAGAAAAGGAGGGGTAGGAAGCGTTCTGGTTTTCTTGCTTCAATGAAGCAAAAAGCGTATTGCCTCTCCAGTAAGGTCCTTTCAGTTCCGCTTTAAAGGGAAACGCTCGCCATCTTGTGAAATTTCAGGATATTGCCACATAGGTCCGTTACCAGAACACAGTGTATTTAAACACTTTAATACAGTTTAAAACTTTACCTCAATTTTAGCTTAATTCCTCTTTTTGCAGACAAACTTACAAGGAATAAGAAAAGGTTTTTTTGGAATATAAAGAGGAAACTGCTTACCAATGAGGAGAGGGATGCAGCGAAGGGCAATATAGGAGCACAGGATTAAGAGGTACAAACTATTATGTAGGTTAAAAAAAAAAAAGCTACAAGGATATACAGTACGACACAGGGAATATAGCCAATATCTTATGATAACTATAAATGGAGTGAAAGTGAAGTTACTCAATCGTGTTCAACTCTTTGCGACCCCATGGACTGTAGCCTACCACACTCCTCCATCCTTGGGATTTTCCAGGCAAGAGTACTGGAGAGGTTTGCCATTTCCTTCTCCAGAGGATCTTCCTGTCCCAGGGATCGAACCCAGGTCTCCCACATTGTAGGCAGACACTTTACCATCTGAGCCACCAGGGAAGACCTAATAAATGGAGTATAACCTTTAAAAACTGCAAACCACTATATTGTACACTTGTAACTTGTCTAATATTGTACATCAACTATACTTCAATTTTTTAAAGACTTTTTTGGAAAAGTGCACCTGTAAAGTATCACTATAATAATATGCTAAAAACTGATTTTTACTATCTCTTCCTTCATTTAGATTCAAAAATGAACTCAAAAAAGAGGAGGGACAATGTGGAATGCAAGATAACAATAGGAGCAACTATGTGAGTCAAATCCAGATCCTTGCCTAGGCAAGAACCATGTGGGTTATTAGAGCTGGTCTTGGGGGCTGAAACATTACCACCAAAGTTTGAACCCATTATCTAGTATGAATTTAAGATAAGCAGTCCTGAGAATAGAACCAAATTATAGACCATGAAGAAAGTGAAACCAATGATTCTTAAATATGCAAATTTATACCCTGGTATTTATTAGTGAGTAATCAAATAAATTTGTTATTAATTTTCATTTAAAAAAAAAAAAAAAACACTTGATAAGGTTTGCCCTGACTGGTACCTAGACAACTAAATCCATTGAAAGGTACTATTCCTTGTTTAGTCAGTGTCTGTCCAATTTTTGCAACTCCATGGACTGTAACCCTCCAGGCTCCTCTGTCCAGGAGATTTCCCAGGCAAGGATACTGGAGTGGGTTGCCATTTCCTCCTCCAGGGGATCTTCCTGACCCAGGGATTGAATCCTGTGCCTCTTGCTTGGCAGGTGAATGCTTTGCCACCAAGCCACCTGGAAAGCCCCAAAAGGCACTATAATTTGGCACCAAATCACCATAGGCATAGACACAGAGAAAAACAAGGAAATATGTGTCTGGTCATACAACTACAATCTTAACATAAAAGATGGTAAATGTATCTTGTGTATATGCTTGTTTTATGTTTATCAGGATACATAATGTCATTCCAACAATTTCCACAAAAAATAGTCACAGGTAGCTAACACACAATTATTCTGTAAGAATACAGAACTGTATTCTATAACTGTTGTGAAAACACATTCAGCTCACTTACTGGTGTCCAGAGAACTAAATAAGGCGCTGGGGCTAACTTGCCAGCCGCCTATGCCAGACAAGACTGTCATCTGCATCTGCCATCCAGCTACAGCACATGGTCCTTTGGGGTGGCCCTGGGCACTGCAGTGCTCCACTGCACCTGCCATCTTCAGAAAAGCCGGAAAGAAATAAACCAGAACTGGTTAGAACTAACAAGGCCTAAGATGGTGGAAGATTTGCATTCTAGTAGACCCTGAGCCTTATTGTGCGCTCATTGTAATACATTAGCATATGTTAAGTGACACACCCACCGGCACTAAGATGATGGACAATTGCCATGCCAACAGCTGGAAATGCCCAGACAAGGACTGAAAAGGAGTATTGCCTCAGTTCCCATCCAAAGCACACCTTTGTTCTTAGATTAGTCGTGAATATTCCTTCTGCTACTTCCAGTTCCCCTGTTTTACCTCAACTCTCCTATATAAATGGTGTCTCCTCCCAAATAGGATTGAGAAGTTGATTTGTGAACCAGGTTCCTACTCCATCCTTGGCCATGGAATAAAGCTTGTATCCTTCCAGTCTTAGCATCGGTTTCATTATTGGCTGTGCAAATATTATGGAAAAAAGAACTTTCCTGGCCAAGACAAGGGGTGTTGGTGGGTGCTAGGACACTGGTGTGAGTCCAACAAATTCAGTAACACATCAGGGTTTCAAATTCACCATATTAAATTTTCTCTGTGCTAAAAGAGGTTTACCTAAAAGAGGTATTGCTGACATGAGACCTCTGCAGCTGCTCAAAACTCACTTCCTGTGCAGCCTGCCCTGGGACTTCTGTGTCACAGGTGCCAGGCCCAAGGAACCAGAACCCGCTTCTCCCATCCCGGCAGACTGGGCCTGATTAAGAACCGAGTGCACGATCAACCGTGTTTTATGGAGCATCTGGAAGGTGTCACCAACAAACCAGAAACAGAAGATGTCCCATAAGAGCTACAGTTCCATTATTTCAAGATGCATCGTTGTAATAGCAATAATATGCTTGATGGACTAGAACTCTACACAGCTATCACTCATGTCCATAAAAAAGAAGGGAACAAACAGGTACCACTGTTATTGAGCCCAAGTTCCTTCTGCTGGCTGCACAACAGGCTAATAAATCAGGAAACCAGTTGTTGGAACAAGCAATAATAATTTTAACTGGAAAGCTAGGAGACCAAGATGGGAGGCTAGCGTCTCAAAAAACCATCTTCCTTCAGTCCAAATTCAGGCTCCATCTGTATACAAATTGGGGGTGTTGGGGGGCATTTTGGCACCATCCAGTGGCTAAGCCAGGCCACTAAGGGTAACTGTGCTGTGCTAAGTCGATTTCAGTCGTGTCTGATTCTTTGCGACCCCATGGATCCTAACCCACCAGATTCTTCTATGCATGGTATTCTCCATGCATGAATACTGGAGTGGGTTGCTGTCCCCTCCTCCAGGGGATCTTGCCGACCCGGGGATTCAGTGGAGTCCAGGCGGGATCTTCACCACTAGCGCCACCTGGGAAGTTAGTTGCCAGTTGTTCACTTGGGGGAGGGGCCCACTGCTGCACCAGCCAATGGATAAGCAGGGCCGCTACAGCTGGTGCCTGCTTCACTGCCACTGCACGTGGAGCAGAAAGGGGCGGCTCCAGAAAACAGCCAGGTAGAAAGAAGTACCCCGGCCCCTCCAGCAACGTCAGCCACCAGCCCTTGGTGGAACCAGGCCCGCGAGCGGCCGAGACCATGGTGGCCACGTAGAGGTGCTTGACTAGTCCGTCAAGCATGATCACCATCTGAGGCAGTGAGTGCTGTGGGCTCAGCCCACCGCTGACCCCACCAGCCAGTCTGTGACTCCATTGAATCCCTGGTCCGAGGTGGTCCCAAGCTGGCGCCCCCCAGAGCGGAGCTTCTGCCTGCTGGCTTGTGCAGGGGGTGGGCAGCGGGACCTGGCCAGTCTGGTGACTTAGCAGCAGCTAGGTACAGAGAGGTGCTGTGACAGAGGAGCCCCTGACTCAACGGAACACATAGGTGGGCCCCAGGAAGGGAAGGGCACATCAGGCCTCAGGTTCTGATTTGGGAGGCCATCACTGTACCACCAATGAGAGAATATGAACTGATTAACTTAACACACAGTGTTTTGAGAGACAGTGACAAAACAATGACAGATACATCGACTATACCCAGTTCACAAATCATGCAGTAGGCATGATTTGGTGATAACTTTCCTCCTTATACGCAAATGTGATCCATTATAATATGATGGAACGCTTTCAGTAACTCCAAACAGTTCAGTTCCAAAACACCGCTCAGATATTTTCATAAAGATTTGCAGCAGTTTGTTACAGTACCGTGAGAAAGAGAAACCAAGAAAAATAAAAGGAGGAGAAATGGGATATACTGTAGTCTCCAAGCACTATTCTCTTATTGGGCAAATGCTTGATTCAATAAACATTTTTTTAAAAAAAGAAAAAGAAACATTTTAAGAAGATTGGACAGGGACTGCCCTGGTGGTCCAATCATTAGAACTCTTTGCTTCTACCTCAGGGGGCCCAGGATTCTATCCTCGGTCAGTTCAGTCCAGTCACTCAGTCATGTCAGCCCCATGGACTGCAGCACACCAGGCCTCCCTGTCCATCACCAACTCCCAGAGTCCACCCAAACCCATGTCCATTGAGTCAGTGATGCCATCCAACCACCTCATCCTCTGTCGTCCCCTTCTCCTCCTGCCCTCAATCTTTCCCAGCATCACGGTCTTTTCAAATGAGTCAGTTCTTCACATCAGGTGGCCAAAGGATTGGAGTTTCAGCTTCAACATCAGTCGTTCCAATGAATACCCAGGACTGATCTCCTTTAGGATGGACTGGTTGGATCTCCTCGCAGTCCAAGGGACTCTCAAGAGTCTTCTCCAACACCACAGTTCAAAAGCATCAATTCTTCAGCGCTCAACTTTCTTTATCGGAGGAGGCAATGGCAACCAACTCCAGTACTCTTGCCTGGAAAATCCCACGGATGGAGGAGCCTGGTATGCTGCAGTCCATGGGGTCATGAAGAGTCCGACACAACTGAGCGATTTCACTTTCACTTTTCACTTTCATGCACTGGAGAAGGAAATGACAACCTACTCCAGTGTTCTTGTCTGGAGAATCCCAGGGACGGCGGAGCCTGGTGGGCTGCCGTCTATGGGGTCGCACAGAGTCGGACACAACTGAAGTGACTTAGCAGCAGCAGCAGCAGCTTTCTTTATAGTCCAACTCTCACATCTGCACATGACCACTGGAAAAACCATAGCCTTGACTAGATGGACCTTTGTTGACAAAGTAATGTCAGGGAACTAAAATCTCACAAGCAAAATGGCCAAACTAATAAAAAATGGATAATTGGAACTGAGCACTCAGGAACTTGATTGAAGAATACTGCCAAACTCCTGGTTTTAATTCATGCATCTGAAAAGTAAGACCAGGTTTGCTAACTGGACACACTTTTCAGTTATAGTGAAGGAATGGAATGCATGCCAAATGTTTCCCCTTTAGAGAAACATGGTCAATATTCTGTAAAGTTCCCCCAGCCAAAATGACTACTTGCTCTGGGCAAAGGGGTATTTATTAGACTATTTCAAAAACGACAGCATAAGAAGAATGTCAAATGGTGAGTTCAGCTAGCCACAAAGTCTAAGATTCTATTTCATCTGGCACTTTAGAAATGACATACCACTGACACAAGTTAAGTAACCTTTTTCAGTTTTTCAACATTTTATGAAATGACTACCATATCCTTGTACTTTCTTTCTTTTATGTTTTCATTAACCTAGGAGAAACCTTGAATCTAAGTGCTCTCTACTTCTAATCATTAGCAAAATTTTCACTTTCTAAACATTTGTATTAAACTCTTGTTTCTAGGGTTTTGTTTTTTGCAGTTTAGAAACTATCAGGAATGTAAGGACTTTGTCCCTTCTGCTTGATTCTACAGGGGTAAACCACCAACTGGTCTAGCCTAAGTGAGAAGCAAAAAAATTCTTCATCTGCAGTGGCTAACCTAATTTAAGTTACATTTAGTAAGAATGTCATTTAAATTACCTCTTATATACTGAATATATAAATACCTTCAGATTGGGAAAGGTTAGAAAAGAAGCCAAAAAACTCTTCACACTGTGAATGTCAATAGTAATGGAAAATGAGAAGCCGCAGCAGATTATAATTTGGCTTATTGCATATAATAGACATGCTGTGATAGGAAATGTGAAGTGATGGCTGAGTGGAGGGGGAAGAACTGCATAAAATTTGCCATGGGATGTATAGAGACTTATTTTCTTTATTAAAGTATCGTTGTAAGAAAACATAAGTATTTGTAAAAATGGCTCCCTGTGTCGTTTTTCTGCAATGAGCTGAACTGTGAGCTATTCTTGTAAAATGTAGTTATTTTAAAAGATTTACAGAATGAATTCTGGATATATGACCAATACAACTGATGAAACAAAAGAAAAGAAAATTTATTCAAACTATTATGTCTTCATGGCATACTTTTTTTAATGACTTATAGCTGAATTTGCAACATTGTGTTACTTTCTGCTGTAGAGCAAAGTGATTCAGTTATACATATGTACACATTCTTTTTCATATTCTTTCCATTATGGATTGTCACAAGATATTGCATATAGTTTCCTGTACTATACAGCAGGACCTTGTTGTTTATCTGTGCTCTGTATAATAGTTTGCATCTGCTAGTCCCAAACTCCCAATCCATTTCTCTCCTACCTTCCTCCCCTTTGGCAACCAGAAGTCTGTTTTCTATGTCTGTGAGTCTGTTTCTGTTTTGTAGATAAGTTCATTTGTGTCATATATTAGATTCCACATATGAGTGTTATTATACAGTATATCATAGACTTCTCCAGGGGATCTTCCCAACCCAGGGATCAAACCCAGCTCTCTTGCATTGCAGACAGATTCTTTACCATCTGAGCCACCAGGGGTTCCTATCCCAGCTTAGAAACCCCCAAAATAAAGAAAATAGACTGATCAACAAAAAAGGAGAAAAGACACAAATTACTAACATCAGAGGTGAAAGAAGAGTCATCACACAGAGGGTTGAGAGTCTTGGCTCCATTCTTTCAGCTAAGATATGAAGTAAAGAAACTGCTTGCCCTAGTGGGGAAAGAAAGCTCAGTCCCTTTCTGAGTGGGATGAGCCCAGGAGAGCAGAAATCTGACTGAAGCAAGTTTCTCCCCATCAGAGTCACCAGGTATTCAGAGCCCTCTCAAGAGAGACGATTCTCCTTTAGCAAGTGGATACAGCTAGAAAGAAGGGGGGAGAGCAATAGGAGCAAGACTCTGATGTGCTAAACATGCAGGACCAGAAGAATAAAAAGGCATTTCCTCAGCCCAAAGGCATAGCCCAGAGCCTAGCCTCATTCTGCTGGTGACTTGTTCTGCTTCAGTTTGTCCACTGCTTTTGGTCTTTTCCCATCTGCACCCACCTATCACTGCAGGAATGATATGTGTGGACTTAAACTAAATCAAGAGAAACCCTCAAAAATCCCACCACAAGAGAATTTACCCAGCCCCTTTGCCCTTACTTCCTACATGACCGGAAAGAGTCAGCTCTCCAGCTTCTGTGACACAGACAAGAAGGTATCATTCAGTTCAGTTCAGTCACTCAGTCGTGTCCAACTCTTTGCAACCCCATGAACTGCAGCACACCAGGCCTCCCTGTCTATCACCAACTCCCGGAGTTCACCCAAACCCATGTCGATTGAGTCAGTGATGACATCCAACCACCTCATCCTCTGTCGTCCCCTTCTCCTCCTGCCCTCAATCTTTCCCAGCATCACGTTCTTTTCAAATGAGTCAGCTCTCCGCATCAGGTGGCTGAAGTGTTGGAGTTTCAACTCAATGAACACCCAGGACTGATCTCCTTTAGGATGGACTGGTTGGATCTCCTTGCAATCCAAGAGACTCTCAAGAGTCTTCTCCAACACCACAGTTCAAAAGTATCAATTATTTGGTGCTCAGCTTTCTTTAGATTCTTTTATTTTAGTTATCAGTATGTAAGAGCCCACACTGTGGTCTTTCCTCCCACTTCAAGGCTATGCTTACCTGTGTTTCAGCAATGACTGACCTTCACCCCAGGCCTTCAACAAGAGTCTCTGACCCTAGAGAGGGCTTGTCACCTTTTCCCCCAGACACCAGACAGTAATGAAGTGGACAACTTGGTTTTTTAACTCCTGTTTCCCCTGTAGCATCTTCTTTTAAAAAAATTATTTATGTACTTATTTATTTGGCTGCACTGGGTCATAGTTGCAGCATGTGGGATCTAGTTCCCTGACCAGGGATCGAACACAGGCCGCCTGCATTGGAAACATGGAGTCTTAGCCACTGGACCACCAGAGAGGTACCCTACGCTTAACTTTTAATTGGTGATTGACCAGTTGGACTATAAAGAAAGCTGGGCACTGAAAAATTGATGCTTTTGAACTGTGGTGCTGGAGAAGACTCTTGAGAGTCCCTTGGACTGCGAGGAGATCCAACCAGTCCATCCTAAAGGAGATCAGTCCTGGGTGTTCATTGGAGGGACTGATGTTGAAGTTGAAACTCCAATACTTCAGCCACCTGATGCGGAGAGCTGACTCATTTGAAAAGACCGTGATGCTGGGAAAGATTGAGGGCAGGAGGAGAAGGGGACGACAGAGGATGAGGTGGTTGGATGGCATCACCGACCCAATGGACATGGGTTCGGGTGAACTCTGGGAGTTGGTGATGGCCAGGGAGGCCTGGTGTGCTGCGGTGCATGGG